CAATTTCTGTCCATATATCACTGGAGATATATAGCCGGGCAAATATTAGGGACCCAAGCAGAGGTTTTAAGAGGTGAGTTTTACTGCCGCTGAAAGAAGGCGTGATAGGCAGCCTGTGGAGACCCACCTCTCTCTTGCTCACTTGGCGGCGGCCGGGCGGTGGCAGCATGGACTGGGGTTCGGCCAGGAAAACTGTCTGTGAGCACCCGGGGGTGCCAGCCTGAGGGGAGTGATCAAAGAGTGGGGCTCTGATCCTCCGAGAGCTGTGTGAGTGGGAGGAGGTGGGGTCACAAAGCAGTCCAGAGGTCACAGGCTGGCTTGGACAGAACACCCTCGCCAAACCCGAGCGAGAAGCCACTGAGCTCCTGCGGATTCGCTCCACAGAAACACAGATTGAAGTGAGACACCAGGGAAGCACTGCCCCGCACGGGCCACTGGAAGAGGCTGCCGTGTTGCCTTTTGCGGGAAGTCCTTAAAATCTGGATCTGAACGAGGAAACCGCTGGCCAGAGGCAGAGGGCTGGACACATGGCCTCTTACCCTCTCGGACCCTGCGCAGGTGATGCTGGAGGAAGGCCTGCAGGAGGCCGGCCTTGACCTCCTCTGCTCTGGGCCCGGGCCTGTGTGGGCCGCTGGGTTTGGGTGAGCGCAGAAGGGTGAGGAGAGCCTTCTTGGCTTGTGGCATATGGTGAGAAGATGTCCCCGGGAATCCTCGCTGCTGATTTAAGCAGCTCCGACAGCTTTATGGCGCCTCCTCGAGTGAGCCCCCAACGCTGGCCGTTTAACTTTTTAGCGTTGTTTAACGCTTAGGCTCCGGCGGACAGGCAGGCCCCTCGGCCCCAGAGGCAGCAGCACTAAATCAGGACACTCATAGGCCCCGATAAATAATTTTTACAGGGCACGCAGCCCATAGATCACCAGTGGGGGTGGGGGGAGAGCGGCTGTGATATTTCAAGCAATTGTCATATATGACTACCCTGTGCTCTGATCCAGGTCATGCACATGGCAGCCAGCTTCATAACCAAAGTCAGCTCCAGGGCCCCCCAGCCGGGGCACGGGCGGGGCTGCGGGAGCTGGTGGTTCCGATTACCCCACAGCCAGCGGATGACCCGCGGACTCATCGTCTGCTCAACCTGCCCTAGTGTGCCGAGCGTGGGCCCCCATCCGAGCTGCCTCTGGCACTGGGAGAAGGAAGGGCTGAGGGCCGGGTGGGAATGACTCTTTCCCAAAAAGTCATTTTTCAGACCACCTTCCTGGTTCCCCCATCCGACTCCAAACCTGAGGGTCCCAGAAGAGAGCAGGCAGCATGCCTGCAGCAGAGGGAGGGTAGAGCTAAGCAGAGCTAAGGGCTGGAGGAAACAGGAACTGTGTGTCAGCTGCACGCCATTCACACCTCTAGTGAAAGAGGCGGGTGGGGAGTAGAAGGAGAGGCACGAACAGTGCGAGAAAGAAGGCCAGGGAGGGATAGGGACAGAAAAATGAAGATGGAAAGACACATGGAGACTCAGAGAGAAAGTGAGAGAGACAGAGGCAAGGGGAGACAGACAGAAACTCACCCAGAGAGGATGCTGCAACGGGCAGGGACTTGTCCTAAAGCCGGGTACAAAGCCAGAGAGACGGTGGCGTGAACAGACCTGGGGAGGACTGCGTCTGTGCCAGGTGGGCCCGCCCGTGCCCTGGGAGGGCACCTTCAGCTGGCTCCGGGCCTGTTTCCCAGCACCAGCTCCACGCTGCTCCCTCCTCCCCCTCCCCCCAGCGCCCTTGCCCTGTCCCCTCATCTGTAAGATCCTGGGATATGCAGGGACACTTAATCCATATGGAGCTGATTCATTCCCATCTAAATCATCTCCATGAGCTTCCCTAAGAGCCCTCTGATGTGCCAGCCGCCGTCCCTCTCCCCCGGCGATGGCGGGCCGGGGGCTGCCAGTAAACAAAACTCAGCAGCCATCCATCCTGGCGTCGTCCGCCCGTCCAGCCAAGACCATCCATCTCTCCAGCCCTGCTCCCCACGCCCGCTTCACTCCTCAGTCCCTCCTTCTGTCTGTCTGTCCCTCTGTGTGTCCCCTCCTCCTTGTGCCCCTCAACTAGAACCTCCACCTCTCTGCCTCGTCCTGGGTAGGATCTTGAGGGGTCATGTCGGCCACGCCCCTGCCTGCAGACAGGATACCTCACCCCTGGTGCAGCAAGGCAGGGGCTCTCCTGGTTCACCGCCTTCCAAGAGGAAAGATCTTCTGATGCTTTTACTGTACAACGTTGACAACCCATGCTCAAGGAAGCTCTTTCTTCTGTCTAGCTCGCATGTCTGAGGTCCACATATGATCACATGTCTGAGCGGGGGTGAAGGTAAGATTATGGGGTTCTGTACAAACATGAGGTCTCCAGGATTTGTAATACGTACTTCTCTGGGTCTCTAGCAGCAAGAGTCAGGCCCGTGCCAAGCATATAGTGGATACTCCGGGTCAGTTGCTTACTGGCCATGATCTTCCCTGTCAGCTCCAGTGAGTCCAGAGCCCTCACATATACCCCAGGGAGGTTTTCAGTGAACTGATCCAGTGGGTTTCATACAGGGCCCAGATTGTGGCACTCTAGCCTGGCAGGGTTGGCAGGAGACACGAAGGAAGTGTCTCTCACTTCTGCCCTCCCACCCAGACTCCTCAGCCCTGTCCTGGGGGTGGCGCTTGCCCAGACAGCTCTGTCTTGGCAGTGATGAGCTGAAGAGGAGAGTAAGCAAGCAGGTGCTGCGTATCTTCCATGGCACCAAAGCAGAACCCTCACATTTGGGGAAAGCCCTTAGGTCTACACGGACTAATAAGGAGAGAGCGGGGGGAATTGCTGCCCCTGGCCCCAGTCTCAGGCATGGTGGCCCTTCCCCCATCAGCTTCTTCATGTCAGCCTGGGAAGGGTAATTCTGGGAACGGGCTGGGGCTCTGCTAGCCTCTCATGAGAGGAGACAGGAGCATTTCTTCTGGTCCCATCTCAGTTTCTCCGTCCACAGCAGCAGTGGGAGTGGGGGAACAGGGCTGTCTCTGGAGTAGAGTTGGGGTCAGACTCTAGCAGCCCTGCAGGGGGATGATTTGGGCATGGGTGAAAGGGTTTAGGGTGGTGGAAGGGGAGCCACAGGGAGGGATGAGGGCAGCATTTGTGGATCCCACAGTAACAGTGAGTGGGAGAGGCAGAGGAGAAGGAGATGGGGAGGCTGAGTCTTCAGATGGCCTGAGGGGGCTGGTACTCCAGCACCTCCCTGAGACCCAGGACACCTTGCTGAGCATCTGACCTCCCCCTCAGGCCAGACCAGACCAGGTAGAGAGTCCCACCGCATGGGTGCCCCCTCCTGCACTCTATTTCGCAGCGCCTTTCCCCCTTGTCATTGGTCCCCTCCAGGGAGCCACTGTGAGTGCACAGAACAGGTGGGGCTCTCCCAGCTGCTATCCAGCTGTGAAGAACCCTGACCACACCCCCCCACCCCCCTGCAGGAGAGAAGGTTCTAATTCTAGCCGGAAAGATGAGAAGGATGGTACGGGGAGAGCGTCCAGAGGGATGCGTGGAAGCTAACCACTTGCCCCAGTTGTGTGAACATATGTGTGGGAGGGGAGGGGCCTGCAGGTGGCAAGGCCCAGCTTAAGAATGATGGAGTGTTGCTTAGTTCTCTGAGCTAGAGACATATGGGCTATACAAGACCAAGCAAAATGAGAAATTATTGCTTAAGAAAGAGAGGACATGGGGGGATAAGAAAAAATTCAAGCCAGGGAGACCCAGTGCCGCTTGCCCCCTCGCCATCATGACCTGACCCATCTGTGCGTGACTGGATCAAAGTCCAAGGGGAGGGAGAGGTCTGAGAACTGACCCTCAGGGCCTCCGGTGGGGGAGAAGCTGATCCTCCGAACATGCATTTCCCCGATGTTACACAGAGCGTGCGGAGCTGGGAACAGCCGCCCCAATTCTCCAGGTGGGACAGTGGGTGGAGCTTTCCCCATCCTCCTCTGTGCTTCTTGTGCCCGCCTCTCTGTCCACCCCTCCCCTCTCTCCAGTCCAATGGGGAACCAGTTCTCTCTTCTCCCGCTGGCCTGTCTCTCATGGTTCTCCCCGGCACTGAGCCTTCCTCATCCACTCAGTGGCTCCCACACTCTCTTGTCTCCTCTGAATGTCCCCTTCCTGCACCAAGCCTCCTAGGCTTTGTCTGTCCCCACGAAGGCCCCTCCCCCTAAGGCAAGTTCACTTACCCAACCTTGTGGCTGATGCAAGTCCTTTAGGGTCCACTGTGGGCTGGTGCCTTGGTCCAGCTCCAGGGCTGGAGTTTCTCTGGTCCGTCTGGCCTCTATCACTCAACATCCACGTGCCTGGTTTAGACTGTGACCTCCACAGGGCTGGCAAGGATCCAAGTGTTTCTGTGGTCACCAGCACAGCTCTGGGAGCAACCTGATTTTTGATAGAGTTGACAGCTTTTCTTTTGATTCCATGAGGCAGAAGCAGCTAGAAGGATGCTGAGAGGTCTTAGAGGACCACTGAGTGTGACTAAGGCACTTCCTCCAGGGAAGCCACCTCCTGCTACAACAAGCAGTGACTGAGGCTGGACAGCAAGAACTTCTGAAGACTCTTAAGGTGGAAGGAAAGATTCCCAGGGTTTCTGTGAAGACGTTGGGGAGGGATGGCCTTAACCTTTTCAAGCTCGGAGGGAGCAGAGGGGTCTGTGAATCTGGAGACGTTTACTTCCACCCTTGTAGGATTGATCCAAAAGAGGGATGGCCACTTCCTCTTTTTTTTTAAATTTATTTATTTATTTTATTTATTTATTTTTGGCTGCACTGGGTCTTCGTTGCTGCATGTGGGCTTTCTCTAGTTGCGGTGAGCGGGGTCTACTCTTCATTGCGGTGCACGGGCTTCTCACTGCGGTGGCTTCTCTTGTTGTGGAGCACGGGCTCTAGGCACGCAGGCTTCAGTAGTTGTGGCTCGTGGGCTCTAGAGCGCAGGCTCAGTAGCTGTGACACCCGGGCTTAGTTGCTCTGCGGCATGTGGGATCTTCCTGGACCAGGGATCGAACCTGTGTCCCCTGCATTGGCAGGCGGATTCTTAACCACTGCGCCACCAGGGAAGCCCGCCACTTCCTCTTTAGGAGCCCTGACTCATCATTCTCAGTGCAAATCCCATTCACAATTTCTTTGATAATTGTTTGTTCCTTGGCCAGAAATCTGGTTCTTGAATTCCCTCTCCTGTTCTTTTCCATGATCTGGGAACCATCTTTGCGAACCAACCCCATCTCCGTTTTATGGAGCCAGAAGGACAGAGAGGTAGAGCCCTGTCTAGGCAGCGACAGAGCAAGCCTACAGGAGCCGGGAATGCCTCCTTACGTGAATGCCCTCTTCTTGTCTTTGGATGCGAAGGGAAAGGATGTGATCCCCGAAGGAAAGGGCAGGGTTGTCCAGAGCAGGGTGTGTTATCAACTAGAAGAGCACCCGCACCCAGCCACCTCGATCTAAATGTGCACACAATGGAAATATCTTCACAGCCAAGGGCCCCTCCCTCCCAAAGAGAAAATCCCACAAGTGGGGAACATCTGGATCAAACCGCAACCATGAAAGCACAACATCAAACGAGGGTTTCAGAGGGACCCTCCCCGCAGGCCCTGCTCCAAGAGAAATTGCAGATCTTCCTGCTTGAAGCTTTTAAGTGTCACAGAACCACTCAAGTTTGGGATCTCTCCTTATTCACCAGAGACAGATGTCCCCAAGTGAGTACGGTTGGGTTTGATTACCCCCAGCGGGAGAGGATGTGTGTGACCTGATCCGGGCCACGTTGGGGGGTAGCCTGGGATTTAAAGCTGTGATGAGGGGCTCCAGCAGTTCAGGCTGGGGGCTGGGGAGAGAGAGGGGACAGGTGGGCCTTTTAAAACGTGCCTACATCAAAGGTCTGAGTAGGCTCCCTTCCCAGCTTTTGGCGCCTCAGGGCAGGAAAGCAGTGATTTCACCACATAACTGCACGTAGGAGTAGGACGGATCTCAGTCTGAGAACTTCTGGGGAATGTGGAGAGGGGAGGGAGGGTGTTCCCCAGAGGGGAGGACAGGACAAGGGGGTTTTCTCATTTCCAAAATAGCCTGCCCAGGCCAAGGAGAATGGGGCCATATGCTGCCTCCCTCCCACTCTCCCCCTGTGGAGGGATGTGGGGGAGGGGGGCATTCTTCCAGGGGGGAGAGGAGGGAGCAGCTGCAGCTGTGGGAGGTGGGAGCTGGGTCCGGATGGAGAATGAAGGGGAAGCAGGGGCATCTTCCCCAAAGACACGAAGGAGGAAGGCTGCAGAGCATGTAATTCTAGGAGACGATAGGCTCTTCCTTCCTGGGTCCTGGGAATCAGAGAGCACCTGGCCACGATGCTGGCAGGCTGGGATGGACAGTGGGGAAGATGGGATAGGAAGGTGCCCCAGATATGGCTGGAATCCCAGTTCATGTTTGAATACTCTGCCCAGAGGGCAGGTGGGTGAGAGAGTGCTGGGATGTTGACAGCACGCTGTGACCTTGGTTGAAGAAGCCAATGGTTTCTTCTTAAGGTGAAAGGTGACCTTCAGTTGGGAAGGGTGTGGGGAGAAGAAGGGTACCACTTGCTTATAGTTTACATTAGCCTCCCTTTCAGGATGCCTTCCCTGCCCCCTTCCTCTCCCCTTTCCCCTGAGAGGTTTATGTGTGGGCGTGGTACCCCACGATGCCAGGGAGGTGTATCACCGGTGGAGGTCCATCCTTCACTGCCTTACAAAGATCTGCTTACGGTTTCTTTTCCCATCTAGACTGTCAGCTTTGAAGGCATGGACTCCCTCACTGTAACTGGGTTGCTAGTGCCCCACACAGTGCCTGGCAGAGAGTAGCTGCTTGGTGATGAAGCCCTGCTCCAGCTTCCAGCTGGAGCGCGTTCTCCCGCCGCCAGCCTTCTGGGAAACAAAACAACCCACGCGATGATTCCTCTGCAGCCTCGAGGCCTCTGAGGGGCTACCAGGGCATCTCCTATCTGACCTCCTCTGGGAGTCTTCTGGGGGGACCCTAGTTGACAGCACTCTCTCCCACCTCTGAAATGTATTGTCCACAAGATTCACCCGGGATTTCCCTGCTGGTCCAGCGGTTAAGGCTTCGCAATTTCAGTGCCTCCTCTTCAGGGGGAACGAGTTCGATCCCTGGTCGGGGAACTAACATCCCCCATGCGGTGCGTGGGGGCGGCCAAAACAAACAAAGAAACAAACGAAAGCAAACGAAAAAAGGTCTCACTACACCTTCATGGTAAGGGCTATTATTGTTATTTACTAATCTGGGATGGATGTGTCTTTCTTGGTTGTGTGAGACCCGAGGCTCTTTGGGACCGCAGTGCCCAGCATGGAGTCTCCTCAGGACAGGCTGGCTGTCGACTAGCTAACGCCTCCAAGTCCTAGTGTCTAAGCTTTTGATGTGGTGGCTCCTCTGGGGCTCTGATGGCTGAGCGTCGGGAACTGCTGAGTCGGGATGTCTTGGCGTAATCGGGTGAATTGGACACACACGTGAAGGAGCCCGGTCCCAGTGAGGTGAGGCCTGAATGACCCTGCAGGTCGAGAGAATGCTTGAGCGGGAATGTTGCGAAAATGACCAAGGTCGGTGGGCTCTATTCAGAAAAACTCTTTGGGCAAGGAACGTATGAAAGAGGTTGGAAGGAGAGAAGGGCAGGGCTGGCAGAGGTTGCAGGAGGATATCCGGGTGGGATAGGCTTGGCCGTGGGTGAGGAGGCTAAGGCGGCTCTGCCTGCAGGTGAGGGCCCAGGAGGGAGGGGCTTGGGCAATTGTAAACATTCCCTCTACACTGTGAGGACTGTGACCACGGCTCCACAACCCGCTCCCATCCCTCCCCAAACTCTAGGCCAGGAGGGATCCTACCTCTCACCGCCATTTCTAGGCCCAGGCTGACCTGTGCTCCCGCGACATCACCTGACACCGAGCTCGGGGTGGATCAGCTTTGCTCTGTACCCTCGCGGTCCTCCCTGGGGCTGGAGCTGCCTTTGAAGTTGCTGGAGAGAAGATTGGTGAGCTGTCGCCTGAGCCTAGATCTCCCAGACATCCGTGAGGGGAGGGGATCTCCACTTTGAGCCCTTTTTCGGGGGGCTGAGGTGTTGACACTTTAGTTGTCAGAACTGACGTTTCTCATCTGTGAATGCGGCGCGAAGCTGACCGAATTGCCAGCATCTCTGGGCTGCTGGGTGGCAGCACTGCTCAGCTCCAGGGACCAACCACTCACCGCACTCCTGGAGCACAACTCCAGGTGGAGCCATTCACATAGAATTTGACGTGTACGGTCGCCGCATTCCCCGCTGCCCAAGGTCGCGCGGTGATGGTGGGCCACCATCGTGCCCTTTTTGAGGCAGGGTTCTGTTTACCAGTCTAAGCTAGTTAACCTGAGGACCAGGAATATTCATGAGGCTTTGCCCGAGGACAGAGAGACGGACAAAATAGTCTCCAAAGTCATGTCCTCATGAGACGTGGGCACCGGGAAACCAGAGTGTCTCCCAGACAACAGGTCCACAAAGCAGGGTGCAGTCTGAGGCCAAGTAGCAGGGAAAAGAAATGACAAACTCCATCCATCGGGGAAGGAAAACTGTCTTTCACCCCCGGATTGAAAAGAATAACCCACGTGTAAAGACCCAGTGACACTTAGTAGGTCTGCAGTTACCATGAGGTGAACCAGAATCAGTGCTGACATTCCAGCCTCTAGGTTCAGGGTTCTTGGAAGCAGAAAGGCCTAGCCACCCTGGTGACACTTGTGCATGGGAATTTGCTGAAATCTGAAATGAGATCCTGACCCAGATGGGGGTCAGGAATTTGTTTCCTTCCCTTTTTCTCCTTCTTAGTTCACTGTTTAGGATGAAAAATGACAACCAGATGAGCAAAAGAATGATTATCAGGAATGATAAATAATACACTCCAGATGTGGCCGGAGAGAAATGCAACTGAAAGCACCACCGCCTCCAAGTAGTCACGTTGGGGCGACCCCCTTCTCCCAACAAGGCCACGATGACAAAAGTTCTGTAACTCTTCTTTGGGAATTGTCTTCAGGGTATGTGGCTCAGTCTTTTTTTTTTTTTTTTTTTGGCAGTACGAGGGCCTCTCACTGTTGTGGCCTCTCCCGTTGCAGAGCACAGGCTCTGGACGCACAGGCTCAGCAGCCATGGCTCATGGGTCCAACCGCTCTGCGGCATGTGGGATCTTCCCGGACCAGGGCATGAACCCGCAACCCCTGCATCGGCAGGCGGACTCTCAACCACTGCGCCACCAGGGAAGCCCTGTGGCTCAGTCTTTAAATGTCCTTATTGGTGAAAGATCTTTATCATTTGCTTCTCTGGAATCAGTCAAAAAACAATTTGTAGCTAGTCATGGTTTTCTTGAGTATTTTGTAAAATGGCTAGAAAGTCCATTTTAAAGCAGTCTTTGCAGAAATGGTTTAATCAAGAGAGGTACAGATGGGATAAGCGTTATTTCCTCCTAAGGTGACTGTTCTGGAGGACAACCCTTGTTTGTTCTTCCGTGTTTGTTTAGAGAAGCTAATCACAGGTGTACATCCCGTACTGTATTCTGTATAATCAAAGAATGTATTAGGATGTTGACGGCTGTATGCTAGCTGCTTCCCCCTCCTCCTGCTATCATGACTTAATGCCTCTGAGGACAGTGCCCTTGCTTTTGCTGAGGGACAAGGGGAATAGAGGCGGGGCTGACCCAAGTGAAGAATTGGTACAATTATCCAGGGCAAAGGTTCGGATCGCCGTCTACCCTCGAGAGTTGCCTAACTCTGCACTCCTTTCTGGACTAGCTCTGTGTTCATTCTTCCAGGGGACTTGGCCAACTGGGCAGAGCCCTTTTTTAGGGGAGAGGGATTCATTTCTTAGCATGGTTCCCTGTCATTCGTGCAAAAATCAGCACAAGTTTAAGAGAGGGAAGCTGTTGGTTCGTGACTTATGTAAAAATGTTATTTTTCACAGAAGTGGAGGGGATGAGGTCAAAACGCACCCACACAGCAACCTGTTTCTAACAACGATCGGTTAACCTACATGAAGAACTCTCCAGTTGCAGAAGTTTCCTGGATGTTTGCTTTCCTGAGGAAAGACCTGGAAGAAGGGGGTGAGCCCTGGACTGGGGAGCCTGAGGGTCAGTCTCGGGAATACTTGCCCGCCTTGGGCGGTGGCCTCTCTGTCCTTTGGGAGAGGCTCCCGTCTCTGGTCTCGAGCCGGGTGTGTGTGGTGGTGTGGGTGTGATCACCGGGGCTGGGGGCACAGGGAGGGATGGCATGACCTCTAGGAGGCCCTAGTGCGGCAGGACGCTCAGCTCTCCTACTCCTTCGCTGACAGACCAAGCTGCAAATCAGGAATTTATTAGGAGCTGAGACTCATTTCCCACCCTTTACAGCCCTGACGACTCAGAGCCAGACTCTGGCAAGGGGCTTCCTCATGGTTTTAATTAGACAATTAATTTTTTATTGGGTCGTTTGATTTCCGGAGCCGATTCCACTCTCCCTCTTGTCCCCCACCTGCCTCCCAGCTGTGAAGAGCCAAGGGGAAGCCGGGGGATTCGGGGAGGGTGCAGAGGAGAAATCCGCTGTCTGCCCTGCGTGATCTGGGAGTCAGTGAGTGGGGAGGGGGTGGGAATCCCTCTGCCCCCCTCAGCTGGTGCAGCACCAGAGATAGTGTCCAGAGCTCAGCCCTGGGCTTGCGGGGCTGCACAAAGGCATTCCTAGCTACTCCCCCAAGCTGTTGGGCTAATTAGTAACATGGGGTGGGAGCGGGGGTAGGGAACTGTGCCCAAAATACCTTAGCAGCATTTCTGCGGTTAATCCTGGCCGTGCTCGGAGACTGTTTACCCTCTACCCAGGGATTAGGAACCTGTTTGAGTTAGAAGGGCAGAGAGAGGCCAGGGCCTCTGTCCTCCACCTGCTTTTAGGAGCTGGGGCAGGGACCCTGAGCCAGCCGGAAAAAAAGGGAGAGAAACCTGTCTTTACTCTATCTCCCTTATTGATTTCCCTGCCGCCCAGCTGCTGGCCTGCTTTTGAGTCTTGATCCTCTCCCCTCCTGCCTCACCCGTGGACGCTGCCCTTGTCGTCAAGTAACAAGCTGGATTCGAAAGGTGGGGAGGAAGGAAGGAGGAGGATGTGGTGGTTTAGCAGTGGGGATGAGCCCGGGGGGTAGAAGGGTCCCCTGCAGGTCATAAATGTTCTCTTGGAGGGTGGGGAGTCCCGGCCCAAGATTCCTGATCGTCTCCATCCTCCAACCCAGAAAGAAGAGAAGGCTAGACTCAAGGAAGAACTTACTCATTTTCAGTAGCGGAAACAAGCAGCTCCTCCTTCAGAGCTCTGTGATAGGGCAAGGCCAATTCCTATTGACAGCAACGTTGCTCAGAGGCCTTGAAATGGAATTGCGGGGAGTGAGGGGACTGTTTCCTCAGGTGCCCTGTTGGTGGGGACATTGTCACTTGTTGTCCTGGCACAAGGACTCCCGAAAGTGTGCAGTCACGCGCGCTGACCTAGCCACTCAGAGCCTAACTGACAAGCGTCTGCAGACACAGGAGTGTGCTCCGAGGAGCCTCTGGGGACAGGGCCCTGGGGTCCTCGTGGGTGGAACAAGCCCCCCTGAAGAACAAGCCAGGACACCATTCAAAGAGGGGAGCTCTGGGGACCCTCTCCGCCGTCCACCACCTCCTCTCTCATGAGCGAACCCCAGCGTTAGGGCACGTTGCATCTACCCAGCACCACCCCTCACTGGCCGGGAGAACACAGACTTCCCTTGGGGCCCAGGACTGGAAGAAATAGGAGTGCATATTTATACTGGGTTGTGAGGGACACAAAGATAAAAGGACCCAGAGATCAAAGAGCCCCCAGAAGCTCGGTGTGCAGACCTCTGGGTCTAGGATTTGTTCTGTAAACAGATTTCCTTCTCCTTTGGGGAAAACTCACATGGAGGGATCCCTCCCTTAGGGCTTGTGGTGGTTCCACGCTGGGAGCAAGGGGACAGCCTGAGGTGGGCCTCGTTGGGACACAGGCCTGCCTCCTGCTGGGGCACATCTCTGACTGCCCAAGCCGTGCAGAACTCCACAGAAGAAAGGGACAGGAAAGTTGTGTACATGCCGTGGTGGGTGAAAGGCAGAACGAGCCCAGATCATCCATTGACGTTTGTGCTTCCATGTGGCTCCCAGGTCGAGAGGGTTCAGACCTTCCACGACTCAGGGCCCTGGGTTAAGGAGGGTGCGTGGAGATCCTGAGCTGGGCACTTCCGGGCCACGGAGAACAAAGGAGCCGGGGTACAGGCAAACCTCCATCAGAGAGGTCGTGTGTGTGTGTGTGTGTGTGTGTGTGTGTGTGTGCGCCTGTGGGTCAGCATCCATCCGTAGGGAGCGGGGAGGGAAAGAAATGGTGAAGAGAATAGGAGAAAGAGAAGAAATAAAAATGAAGGCACTGAAACAGAGAGAGCAAGCTAACAGACCCACACAAAGAGAGGCAGAGAAACACTGCAGGAGCCTGGGGACCAGGCAGCAGGAGGCGGGGAGGGGAGAGCCTCGGGAGGGTCAGCAGCGAAAACAATCGGCCAGGCTTCTGCCCGGGAAGGTGGGCAGGAAGGCAGGGAGGGGAATGGGTGGCAGAGAAAGCCCCCCCTTGCCGGGCAGGGCAGAGGAGCCGGAACCCGAGTCTCCCAGCTCCCAAGCAATCAGCCTTCTCCCCCTGCCCTCGCCCTGAGCCCAGAGCTGAGATTGACGGGACTGCAGCTTCTCTGGGTCTGGGTGGATTTGAATAATTAAGTCATCTGGATTCTTATGATTTACCATTTTCAGTGATAAATAGACAGTGCCCAAGCCAGCCAGTTGGCAAAACTCTGGCTGCTAGTTATAATTTGTCAAGCTGCCAGTAGATTCATGTTTCATGCTAATGGAGAGAGACTCATTGACTGGGGAAGGCGGTGACCCGGTCAGCTCTTTCCTCAGGCACCCCAGAGGTCGAGAGGTCGGGGGGAGAAAGGCCGGGCCGGTATGGATTTGCTGTAAGGGTCAGTGTAATTTTATAATAATTCAGCGGGTACACACGCTCTCGAATACACAGAGAGTCATGTATGCGGAGATACGTTCGGATCTGTGCACCTCCCCCGCCCATGCACCTGCTCCAGTGCAGGCGTCTGGGCCCAGTGCACACAAGCCTGGTGCTGAAACACTTGTCCAGCCCCCCTCAGCTCACTTGCACATGCACACCCTGCTGCCCCCTTCAGGCATGTGATGACACCTAAGGCAAACCTGCAGACCTGCTCAGACGCCCAGAGAAACATATCTCCCCTCACCGACAGTGCACACCTCAAAGATGGGAAGATACCTCTGGGGGACCCCTCTGACCACCACCCCAACCCCTTTATTTCAGGGCTTTCGTGTCTGCCGTTCCCACTGCACAACTCTTGCTCCCTTTCTAACAGTCTTCCAGTGGGGGAGACAAATGAGCCCTGGGGCCGTCCTATTTTCCAACCGGCTGGGTCTGGGTAGCCGGAGTTGGGAAAGCACGGGCTCGGAGACAGGGCATATGGAAGGCGGCAATCAAAATCCAAACTTTCTTTTCCATCAGTTCATTTATTTATGTATTTGTCCACATGCACTAAAGCCTCACAGTGGCGAGCATCTCATGACTGACCGTCATGAGAAACAGAGGTAGGGACAAGGCTTCGCACATAGTAGGTACTAAATAAATAGCAGTGGCAGGAACAGCTGCAGCTACTGACTGATTTCTCGACAGAACAAACTACTCATTTCCCTTCTCTTCCTCCGCCTCAACAAACCTTTATCATCAGGGAAGGCCAGAGAAGAGGTGTGGGTCTGGGTGAAGCCCTCCTATTCCTTGACTTGAGAAATCTGGGCCTTTGGCGTGATAAAAAATGCTAATTTTATACCAACAGAAGCCATCCGGTCTCAATTTTGACCCCCAAATGCCCTTAAAATGGATCAATGAGCAAGGGAGGACTGAGGAAGGAGCATCTGTCCTCCCTCCTGCCCAGAAGAGAATGTGAATTTGCTTTGAGTAAGTAGCTTGTGAGCAGGGCCAGAAGCCGCAGCTCCTTACCGTCGGCAGCTTTAAGGTTTGGCGGGGGCGTGCGGAAGGATCAGGGGCCCGAGGAGAAACATTGCCTTTCCCTGTCCACCAAAGCCCCTAAAGGAGAGAGAAAAACACAATAGCGAGCCGAACAGAGCAGAGACCGAGGCAGCAAGGAGAACCCCCAAAGACAGAAGCTGCTTCCAGCGTCAGGCTCAGGCTCGAGGATGCGGTCGCAGCTGTTGGCTCTGCCCGTGGAGATTCAAGATTCCGGATCCTGCGAAGTGAATTGGGTTCCCTCCTTCCCAGCGGGGCCAGGCTGGGGTCAAGGTGGCTGCTCTAGGCAGACAGTCTGGAACCCCTCCACCAAGGCCTGGAATAAGAGGCCTCCCTTCTTTGCCGAGCAGAGGTGGATGGCGGCGGCAGGCCCAGCTAATCAGAGGCATTCCTTGGAGAGACGGCCAAGAGCCAGAATCGACCAGCTTCTCCATTCAAGGGAAAGAGGACCCCTAAATGCATCGGGAATAGGGAAACAGGCTTTGCTTATTTAATAGTTTGAGGCTTTGACCTGGTTTCACTGACGTCATCCCACCTGCACCAAGGTGAGCTCCTGCAGGCCCTCACTCACCCCGGGAGAGCAACAGCCTTGGGGGCACCAGCAACTCCACCCCTATGGGCAGGGGCAGGCCGACTGTGGCCTGCAGATGGGTGAGGTGGGGAAGGATTTTCTGGGGCAAGCCACGGGGACGTGAGGGCAGTAATCATGATTGATACAGAAAATGTGTCGCTTCATCCCGCAGTTGATTAGCAAAGCTTCCTCCCCATTTTGCCTCTCATCTTCCGTTCCTAATATTTGCATCCCGGTAATGAACTCCTGAGGTCAGGGCACATGTTACCTTGTCTGAAGGTCTCAGAGCAAAGCCTCTGAGTACGAAGACAGTACAAGAGCCCCAGCCTGGACTAGATGAAGAGGGAGAGAGAAAGAAAAGGAAAAACAGGAAGAAGGAAGGAAGGGAGCAAGTGGGTGGGGGGATGTGGAGAGAGATAAAAGAAGGAAAGGAGCTTGAGAATGGGGAGGAAAGCTAACAGAGCGATGCTAAAGTTGGCCGGTGGTTTGAGGGTTGAATCCTCAAGGCTTATGCTGCCCTTGGAAGATGTGCTGACCTTAGCGACCTGCCCCATCCCACTTTGGGGAAACAAAGGAGTTATCTAATTGGCTTTAACTGGGTGGTTGCTGCTGGAGCACATGGACAGCGTGGGGGAGCACAGGCCCAAGAGGCTGCAGACACACAACCACCCCAGGTCAACCTCCTCTAGAGGCTGAATCTGAAGTCATTTTGCCAATTAATCTCTGTGTGTGTGTGAGTTCTGTGAAATACACTGCAGACCGAAAGTCCGCTTGCCCCAGGAAGGCATGTCCTCGTTCTCTTTCAGCGTGCGATGCTTTCTTTGGTTCCTCCAGCATCTATAAACCTCACACCAAGCTCTTTATAGATTAATCCAACCCCTTCTGGCATAGAGAAATCCCTTGCCCCGGAAGGTAGCTTTCTGGGGCAGGGATGGAGATAAGTACGGCAAAGGAGGAAGATTTTTCTTCTCACCAAGGAAGAAAATGAAGATGTCTTTCCCAGAACGCACCGGGCCTTATCATCACCCCTCTCTCACCTGCACACATACAGGCAGGCTAACCAAAGTGCCAGAAGAACCCTCCAGTGCAAAGGGTTCATTTGACACAGAGAACAAACTGAGGCCCAAGGTCACAGAGCCAGAGCATGGCAGAACAAAGCAGCCCAGGCTGCAGACAGCGGAGGCAGGTCAGGAGGCAGAGCCAGGGTGGGTCCGCGACTCACCCCTCTCGAAACTGCTGCTTCTGCTTCCAGCACTGCTTTGGGAGCCAGATATTGACCTGCAGAGCCTCAAGGCCAGCCCCAGGCAGGTGCGGCTGCACGAGAACTCCTCCAGCTCTGTCAGCTACTTCGGAGAGAAGTGAGTCGCAAGAGGCTGGCCTCCGCCTCCGCCCCTCCTGTGGCGCCGGCCTGCAGCCTGCCTGGGGTGGGCACTGGAACCTGGGAGGTCAGGGTCACGGCAGCCAGGATACCTGGGAGCCCCCGCCTCAGCCCCACTGGGCCTCTCCCCGCTCACCCTCCTCTCCGCGCCTTTCCTGCCGCTGTTCCTCCCGTCTAGACCCCCTTTCTGTTAACCCAGTTCCCCCTTCTTTCCTTTCTCTCTGTATATTTCTCATTTTTCCTTCCTTCGTTTGCCTTCTTCCTGCCCTCCCTCCACTTTTTTCTCCTCTCTTCCTTCTTTCCTTTTTTCCTAGCTTTCCTCCTTTCCTACCCGTCTCTCCTTCTCCCATTCATTTCTCTTTTATTTTTTTTAAAACTTCTCTTTCTTTTCCTTCCCTTTTCTTTTACTTTCTAGCTCCTTTCATTCATTTGCTTTTCTTTTCCTTCCTTCCTTTCTTTCCTTTTTTCTTTCTTTCACTTCTCCTTTCTTTCCTTCTTTCATTTTTCCTTTCTTTCTTTTCTTTCTCTTTCCTTCTCTTCTCTCATACAACAAACTAATCTTGCTTCTTCATTCCATCCTTTATCAGCATTCCTTCATTTCATCTCCCTCCCCTGCTCTCTCCCGAGTTCCCTCCACTGCCCCCAGTATTGGGGCTTTCTCGAATTTTCTCTTCCCTCACCAGTCGTTTCTCTTTGTTGTTCTCAACTTTTCCAGTCCTTTGTGTTGTTTCCTCCACCTCCTTTCCATCTTCCATTGTTTCTAAATCCTCTCTCTGCAACAAGCATAAGGCATAAAAGTGCCCCCTCCCCAGGGTGGGGCTTCCATCCTGTGCCAGCCTAGCCACCCTTCGTGCCATTCCTTCTCAACTTCCCTCAATGTGGGGTTCAATTTCAAGGGCCCAGGAATGGGGCTGTTCCCTGCTAGCTGAGAAGTCAGGGCTAGGTCCACAGCTCCCCACTACAGGCTTAGGGGACACCTGCCAAACTGTTGTCACTCCATCAATCCTAGTAAAAGAGAAAGGGGAAGAGAGGGAAAGAGAGACAGCTCCACAGACTGTGTGTGCGTGGTGTTGGGGAGGAAGGGGCAAGACGGACTGGATTCATCAAAGAGGGAGGGGGCAAAGTCCAGCACCTTCTCTTAGTGCACCCAGAGCTGGGGGCAGCCTGCAAAAGAAACCCCAGTCGGCTCCCACGTTAATTTTGGGATTGGGCAGGATGAGACCTTCCATCCAACTCCTCTGGGTTGGAGAGGTGCGCAGGGCCTCGGGATGGGAGGAAAGAAAAGGGCTTATATTTGAGTATCAGTTGCCTTTACATCTGCCCCTGGACACATCCCTGCCGAGACCCCCGCCCTGGAGACCTCCGAGTCCCTAGGCAGTGGCCCCTGCGGCCCTCCCGGACCTCTCAGCTATGCGGGCCTAGTTCCAGGGCTCCCTCGGGAGCAGTGCCGGGGCAGCCCCTGGATTACTCACAGCAAAACCTCAGGCGCAGTGAAAACAAAGGCCTGGGAGGATTGGCCGCTCTTGACCAAAAGATGTGGGCCAAGTAGAGGCCAGAGACACCACTTGCTCGACATGGGAATTTTCTCTCCTGGATCCACAGTCCCTCCCGGCCCTTTCCAAGAAGCCGTCCAAATGCTGCAGCCGCCTCCTGCCTGGCTCCTCAGGCCAGACCTGCAAACCTCAGGCTCCACGGAGACCCTCCGCCCAGGCTGGGCCTCCCTTTCCGGGGCTCCAGAGTTCCCTTGGCCCTGCCAGTGCACCTGCCGCGGCCTCGACCCTCGCCCGCTTTCCCAGACTCCGCAGGCCAGCCCCCGTCCCCGCCTTGGACTGCCCACTCCCGCAACTCTCCACCCGGGGTCCCCAAGTTCAGTCGCGCCCTCTGAACCAACCCTCTTTGACTCCCTTTTGAAGAGCCTCCTCCATCCCTTCCTCCCGGGACTTCTCTTGGGACGGGGGCGGGGGGCAATGCCAGACCCGGGAAGCGGGTAGGGGGCTCTTTTCCTGGCCCTACTGCGGGAGCTGCAGAAAGTTGGAAGGTGGTTGCGCTGGGGCCGGGGAGGAGCCCTCCCTGGATTCCATCTTAGGGCAATGGGTCTCTGAGTCAAATTGGAATTAAAAGGAGAAGAAAAAGAAGAAGAAATTCATGTCACTCCTAACTTAAAATCAGCAAAAGGTCCCGGGGCAGCAGGGGCCCCAGGAGGTCCCGGGCTGAGGCTCTGGGGCGATACCCCGCCCCCACCGCGGCAAAGTCGACAAGTACTATTTTCGGCTACTACGTCTCTCGCTTTCCTGGGAAAGCCCTTTGGGGATCTCCAAGCGTCTCTAAGAGCTTGCTGGATGACCAGGTTTGGGACGTGCCCGGGTTTTTCCTACATCCGTAATCAGCCCTGATTGGGAAACAAACTCATCCTTCCTTTAGTCTAAGAAGCAGGGGGCCCTCCCCCTCACTTTAAACCTCAGAACCCCAACTCTGCTCCCTTCTCCGTCTCTCTTCGATAAACTTTTCTGAAGTTCCCGCAAGTTGCATTTGGGGAAAGAAGTGATCACCCTCAGACGCTATGGGTCTCCAGGCCCCCAGTTTCTCCCATCCTCTCTAGTTTCAGAAGCAACACTCCTCGTCCCTCTGCCAGCTGCCACCTTAGTCCCCAAACTCGGGGGAAGAAAGCTGCTCTGGTCCCACTCCTCTGATCAGTGGGGATTAGTATCTGCCAGCAGGGGAGCCGGAATGGAGTAAGGAGAGACAGAGATGGGGAAAGGCAGATTGCTTTCAGGCTACAGCGCACCCCTCCCGGACCCAGCTCACCTGCTCCAGACGGGCTCCTCTTGATTTTTATCCACTCAAAAGTTTGTCCTTCTCTCAAACTGTCTCAGGAGGTGCGCAAACTCGGCCGTCGGGGTAGGGTGGGCGCCCCTGAGAGCGCAGGCGCCTGATTCAGAGCGAGCCCCGGGGAAGCGGTACTCGCGTGCATCTTCCCCAAGGTGGGGGCCCAAGCAGTGATCCGGAGGCATGACACTCAGGCGCCCGGGGTACTGGGTCAGGCTGCCAGCCCGGGACTGCCCGGGGCAGATTGGGCGCTATAGAGGGAGAAGCCAGCGGGACCGGGCAGGCTCGGGGAACTGGAAGGAGAGGACCCTGGGTGCCTGGCGGCGTCTCTCGCTTCCTCCAGTTTGCGCCCTCCCGGGTGTGTCCAAACCCACAACATTCCCTCAACCCGTTCTGGGGCGACACTCACGGCCCGGACTAGGCAGAGAGGGAGGGTGAGGGGACGAAGTGACCCCTCTCCTTAGCCCCTCCCCAGCGCCCGCGCCACTGCTCCCCGCCCCCGCTTCCCTGCCCAGAGCCAAGGGACATACAGAGAATTGCAACTAGAAATTCGATCGATTGGTACGAGGGACCACGTGGTCCGGGGTTGGCCAATGACCAGGCCGCCCGGGATGAGCTAATAATGGAAGCAATTTGTAACTTTCAGTAGCTCTCTAGGCCTGGGTACCGGAGGGAGGGAGGCGGGCGGAGGTGGGGAAATGGGTGACCCCCAGTCCTTCCACCCTCCTCATTCGTTCAGGGCAGCGGGATCCCCGAATCCTCCTTTCCCCTAACACGCATGCACTCGCAGAGTCCCGCACCCACTTCTGTCCGGCAGCCGCTGCTCCAGAGCAAGGTAAGCGGGTCCTCCATCCCTCAAACACCCCCAGCCCCATCCTTTCTGGCACCTGCAAAAAACGTCCCTCTTCTTGCCCCATTAGACAATTTAAATCCGGTTTTGTTTTTCTCTTAGTTGAAAAAATATAATCCTTTTGTATTTTTTCGTATAATTTCAGATTTGTGGAAAGATTAAGTTCAGATTAATATACTTTACTTGGAGGGTTAGTGGTACTTTTGGGATCGATTTTATATTCTGTTCTTTTGGAGAGGAGCATTCTACTTAAGGAGAGTTCGCAGATGAGTTACACCCTATGTTTTTGCAAGTTTCACTTTTCTGATGATGTTAAGTTCATGCCTTTCTCCATCCCATCTTCCAATTTCAATATTTACAAATAATAAGTTAACATATTTCAAGTTTATTCGTTTGTTTTTTTCCTCCGTCACTAGTTTTTCAGCTGTTACTGAATCGACACGATTTTGTTTTTTCTCCTGGTGTGGACCAAGCCTTAGTTTTGTGTTGATTTCTCTTTTTGTTTTGTAAATGAATTTGTTGTTTGGGAAACTATGGGAGTGTGAATGAGGTCTCTTTTGACTCTTTTGATCCCTCCTGTTTTAAAGAACAATTGAAGTGTTGTACGCATTGTCTTCAATTTTTGTTGATGTTAATCTTTCAATTTTGATGTATTTTACCTCCTTTTAAAACCTGACCTGTTCTTTAAATTTAATCTTTTGTGTATGTTAAACCATCTTTAAAGTTTTAATTTTATAAACTTCACCATTTTGTACATTTCCTTAGCCTTGTTCAGCCCCCTTTGCCCTCCTGCATCCTCCATCTCAGACCTCCCACCCCTAGTTTCCACAGTTCCCAGCTTCAAATTCGATTCACCCATCCAGGCAAGGTGGGACGCCTGGGAAGAAGAAAATGTCCTACTTGGGTCAGAGCTTACACTCGAGGTTCTGGTTCTGGGCACCTCTAGTCCGACTCCCCAAGCCAGCAAATTCAGGGAAAGCAGAATTTCTGTTTGACTTTTTAGTTTGGGACCAAGCTCTTTCTCCTTGGCTCTATTCTGGGGAAGTCTTTGGTATACAGAGTTGAATTTTTAGTTCTCATCTTGTCCCTGAACTCTAAGAAAAGTACCAGCAGATATTTTTTGCTCCCTTAAATGTAAGCTGCTGGCTTGGGGTCAGCCTGTTGGGACTCTTGCCTCCTGGGAGAGGATTCCCAGAAGGGAGACACAATGTTTAGTCCCCTCTTTTATTTCTAATTAAGGTGGAGGTGGCAGGGGTTGGGGGACCCCATTTTGATCTCCAGCTCTGGCTTTGAACGGACACAAAGAAGGAGAGAGAGCTGGCCTAGGGACTAGATCACTTTGGGTCAGTGGGATCCGGTTTAGGAGAGTTTGCAGTAAACCCCAGCTCTGAGGACATTCTAGCGACACTGTGAAGTAAATCATCAAAATGGTGTGATGTGGTTTCAGCCCATTCAGATTCATCGCAGGTAGAAAACTCAAATGATGAGAGAAATCTGTTTCCCAAAGATCCGCCTCTGCTGACTTTGTCCGTTCCTCTGAGGGAAACAGCCGAACTCGGCAGAAGTAACACTGCCACGGCTCCTCCCCGCTTGGTCCCCAGCTCCGTCGTCACATTGACATTCTGGGC